CAGAGGTCAGTTGGGGGGGGGGGTTCCCTAACTAAAATTTTTCCTGGGCCCCCTCAACCATATCTATTTGACTCGAGTATATATAAGCTTTAGGGGGAGGGGATGTGTTATTGCATTCATACAGAAATTAATTAATTTGCTATAAAAAATGTATGTATATTAACTTTAGGCAAAATAATGTTTATGTTGATTGAGCTTTCAATCACCCACGTGCCATGCCCTAGCAAAACTGCAACATATTCTAAAACAATAACTCAATGTCACTTTTGGAGTTTAAAAACAAACCTTGAAATGAATAGCCTGTGTATGTGTGCGTGTGGGCGGAGGTGGAGGGGGGAGACTTGCCCATTCTCACCTGTCAATATCATCATGTGGGTCATAATGCCCTTGATCTTTAAGCCATCTTAACTGACTTTTGAAAAATTTTTCCATTCTTTCGTGTAATTCTTTCCACCATCTTTCGATCTAGAGGAAAACGTTTTTTTAAATGACATTTTGTGAAATGTGCATTTGCCGGAAATCAGATGATAGGGTGGATTAAAATATTACTTGTTACTGAGGAAATGATTAAATAACAAACAACAATAATACTTTTCCTGGCACTCAAATAAAGTCACCGAAAGACTCGTTGACTAATTTGGCACACTCACATAATATAATTAGAGAGCACTTGAGAGATGAGCTTACTTACTTCGTTTGAAGTTGATGGACCATACAAAATTGTGTCTGCAGGATCCACAACGTCAGTGTGATGTCTACGAAGAAAGGCATGAATTGTGGCCATGGTGCCTGTTTCTGTACCTTTGTCGATTCTGATCATTGCAGGAATTACCTTGGTCTCCATTATATGCTCCAAGTACCAACGACCAATCAATTGCGGGTCACAGTTCTTATTCCAAACTCGCAACCATAGCAGCTTTCTGCTGGCTGTATCTAAGCAGCCATAAATAGCAATCGGAAAAGTGGAATTTTGGAAACCCATTAATTTATCTTGACCGTCCAGGGAGTGGACCCAGTTTGGTCCTTTCGAAGAGAAGTTTCCTTTCTTTCGCCTTGCCTTCTTAGCTCCAACGCCTCCGCGAGCAGCAAGTCCATCGGGGTAAAGATCAGACATCACATCGTAAACTTGATCTCGCGTAACTAACAAGTCATATTTTTGTCTTATTTTCTTGTGCATGCTTCTATATCCCAATAGCTTTCCTGGTCCTTCCAATTCCTTTTTAACAGCCTCTTTAACATCTTCAACCGAAACAGTGTCATCCCTGTAATAAACTTCGAAATGGCGTAAACGTCTGTCGAGTGTTCGGATACTCCAGGCGTATTGAGGAAAGTCTCTCCGTAAAAAATCGATCGCTTCTTCGCGTTTGAGGCCTTGTTTGACATACTTCTGCAGTGCACCTTTAAGGGGATCGTCTTCTTTCCACGATGAAACCCTGCTATCCGCCATTTTCGAGAACAGCCCGGGAGAACAGT